ATCCTTGACTTCCATTGGGGTGCTGCACCAGCGCCGCAACCTCAAGGGGCACTGCACGCCATCGTTGACCCAGAAGACCCAGACTCCCAAGAACCACTTGATGCGAAGCCAACAGCTACAGCTATCAGTGACACACCAGTGGATGTCACTGACTCCCAGCCACCTGTTACCACCGAGTCCCAACCAACACCCGTTGAGGGGGAGAAGACTGGTGAGTGCATTGATGATGGTTATGATTGTGCACTGACGGCTTCGCTCGGATCGATTTGGGCCCGCTCTGATGAAGAGGTTGAGGATGTTAAGTGGGGCCTGGACGTGGCCCAGTCCCTGGACACTGCCCAGGCAAGTTCATTTGGAGCCCCGGCACCATCCACGGCTGCAGCCCCAGCCATGGAGCCGATGCCTGGCTTGGAGGAGGTCACTAAGTCGGTGGTGCAAGATGCGCTGTCCAAAGTGCGGGCTATCCGGTGGGGAGTTCCAACAACTGTTCCAACAATGGTTTGTTTGCTGTGAAGTACCATCCTGTTGGTCCAAAATGAAAAGAGGTTCCTGTTGTTTTCTGTTTAAACCAAGCTCGACAGGGGGATGATTGGGCAACAGCAAATGCAAAGGGCGAAATCAAGCTCTTTGGATGAATGTCCTAAAGCTTTGTCATTTTGTTTGTGTGTGATGTATCACTGAGAGGTGTTCATCAATCTAGTTTTAATTCTGTTTGTGAGGTGTTTGCCTGGATAACATGGACACTCTGCCGATGCACGGGTGCCAGCAAGAACTTGGCATGACTCTTGCAGCTGCACATGGAGATGTCATTGACCTTTCATCGCCACCTCGCCTCTGCCCTACTAAGAAGATGGCGGGACTGGTTGAGGAGTCGGAGCAGCCTCCGCCTTCAGTGCCAGTCAGCAAAGCAATGCCGGAGCAGCCTGTACCTTCAGAGCCTGTGGGCAATGTGCAGGAGGGAGCCTGTACCTTCAGAGCCTGTGGGCAATGTGCAGGAGCAGCCTGTA